GGCCGTCATCTCCAGTTGGGGAGAGGTGCTATTTGCAGTTGATGTCAGGCCTTGGCCATCGACTTGTGAACTTAGATTTTCGGACCTGTGGAGTGTTAGCTTCGCGTGGTTACTCGTCTTCTTATGATTATCAGATCCAGAGAGGCCAGTATGGTAGTGACTCCGAATTGTTGGCTTGTCTAGGACAGAGTGATCGCGATTGGGATTGCCAGAGATGTGACATTTGGTAGGAGTGATGGTTTTTCAGATTGCAGGGTCGGAATCTGAGTGTGCGCATGTGGATGAGTCTTAGAGAGTTGTGTCTGGAGGAGGACACCGATAGCTCGCGGTATTCTGTTCATCCGGGTGCCGCGAAAGAGGTATCAGGATTGAGAGCAAGCACTATGGGTGGAGGAAGAAGAAGAAGATATTGTGGGATTTGGGCTCGGGTGTTCCTCAATTGTAACAGTGAAATAATGAGGCATCAGAGCACGCTTGGTGGTTATGCTTCAGACGATGGTAATTGCTCGAGCTGGAAGTGGAGAGGATTACTATGGACTTTGTTGTTGTAGTTCTTTCGGCTTTGACGAATTTGATGCTATTTGGTGATTGTTGATCCGAACTGAACCAAGTCTTTGCACTTCATTCTGTGATGTATACGCTAATGTTCAAGCGTACTGGCAGGGATATTATATCCGGAGAGATTGTTCGGGGAGTCGTTGCTGGTGTTCCGGTTTTCTATCATTAGTGACGGGGTACTCAGTTTATTCGGTAGTTTTGTTAGAGCGTAGCAGAGAGAGTTGAAGTATCAGGTGGAGTTGAGCAACAGGCATTTCTTCTCAGACGACGGACAGTCAAGTCGTGCCATTCGGATATTGACGGACAGTTTGGCGTGTTGTTCATTGATTTTGGAGGTTCATGGATGAATTTTTGCCACTTGAAGAGTTTGGCCTACAAAACAGCTATCAGGTCTCAGTCATTAGATGGCACCGTATGAGGCCTTGTATGGGAACGATGTAGATGCTCAGTTGGGGTTTTGGTTTCGAACCCGGTGAGGCTTAGGCTATGGGAACGATTGGGTTCAGGATGCTTAGAGCAGGTTGAAGGTGATTACAGGAGAGACTTCGCTACAACGCAGTCCGGTGGTCAAGTTATGCGGAACCGGTTGAAGGTTCGAGACTGTACTACTGGTTGGTCAGAAGGTATTGCTGAAGGTTTTGCCATGGGATGGGTTTTTTAGTGAGATTTTGGGAAGAAGGAAGTTGAGCCGCGGTTCATTGGCTTTTGAGGTACGTTAGGAAGGATGGGGGAGGTGGCTTTATATGCTTGCTTTTGCCACCCCTCAGGACTTGTCAAGTGTGCATCCGTTATTATGTTTGCTATGCTCCGGAAGTATGTTGGGGTCACGACCCGTCTCATGATGTTGGATCTTCAGCACGATTTAAGTTAGATGGTGTTTGACTTTTGATGTGGAGCCCAGTGCTATTTTGGGTCGTCAGGTTTCGAAAGTTTTGAGGTCGAAGGATATAGCTTCCATGAAGGTGCAGATGGAGAGGTCCGCCGTGAGGGGGTACCTGGGAGACCAGCGGGAGATGCGGAGCGATCCTCACCTATTTAAGGCTGTCAAGGCGATGTTTCTTGATCACTCGAGGACGAGTGTGTTTGTTTAGAGGTTGGAGGAATGTGACGAACGACGCGTCGTCTATGAAGTTACCGCTCCGTTTTCCCACTTTCTGCTTCTTTATCTTCATTATCTCCGTGTCTTATGTGGTTCGAGTTGTTTTGGAGTGTGTTTTGGTAGAACATGAGACACTTAGCTCTCTTAAAGGAAAGCTTGGTTTGGAAAAAGTCAACCGGATGTTGACTTATGTCTTAGAGGGTCGCAGATGCGAATTCGATTGTTCGAAGTTTAGCTTCCGGAGGTGATTTGTGACTTAGGAGTGTGATCTTGGAAGTGGTTTTGGCAGGTCCGGTTGTGGAATAGGCTGAATTGGCGAAGTTTAGGTATTTTGCGATTTCCGGTTGATATGTGAGAATTTTGATCCGGAGGTCGATGGATTCCGAGAGTTGCTGAGCTTCGTTATGTGGATTTGGGGATGTGTATGTTGTAAAATTTAATCATTGGAGTGTTTGGTTGGGTTTTTGATTCAAATGCGTGTTTCCGGAAGTTTTAGAAGAATTGGCTTGAATTCGATGTAATTTGATGGTTTTGTGGGTAGTTGTTTTGAGGCGTTTTGATGATTGGAACAAGTTCGAATTGATTGTTTTGAGGATGCGTTTGGTGCTTTTGGTTGAGGTCCCGGGGGCCTCGGTGGTGTTATCGGCTTGCGAATTTGGCTGAGATGCAGATGAGAGCAGTGCACGGACATTTACTTGCGATCAACGTAGTCCTCGCAGCAGAGAGCATTTTTCCGTTTGCAAGGGAAATGCAGTGACAGGTAAGGTCAATATTGCCCTTCGATCGCGGTGATCCTCGGTTCGCATGAGTTTGTTGGCAGTCCATTTGTCTTCGCATTGCTAATAGTTGGTCCGACGGTAAGTATAATTTCTACTGCTATCGCAGTTAGTCCGCGTGCATAGGCGTTGTCGCTGTGTTCCAGCAAGGATTCACGCGTTCGCGGGAGTGCGGAGCGTTCGCGAAGAGTTATTTTGGTCAAGGTAAGTTTTGTTCATCGCAGAACGCGGGGGTTGACCGGTTTTCGTATAGAAAGAAAATTATACGTGGGCAGAAGAGGTTTTTTAAAATATATTCATGCGGAGCTAAGTCATTTTTCCACCATGTGTTGAGTATTTTGAGCTCTTTGGGAGAAATTGAAGAGGGATCGAAGAGGTTGATTGGAGGTAAGTTCTGTATTGAGCCAAAAAGACGTGATTTTTAGGGTGAAATTACCTAGAAATTCATGGAAATTTAACTAAAAAAGGTGAAGAACTAGGGCTTGGGTTTTGAGATTTTTAAATTGGATTTATGAAGGCCATTGAGGTCGGATTGTGAGAGTTTTTGGTATGTAATGACTCAATGCGATCTAATGAGACCCGTCGATGTTAAAAATATTTGAGTTTCGAGAGTGCCGGGGCTTCGGGTTTTTTGCTAATTTTCGAAGATTTTTGAGTATTTTTCGAATCTGTTTCGATGGGGTTTTTTGGTTCCTTTAGCATATTGTGACGTTATTCGCCTCTGGTTTTGGTACAGATCGTCATGGCGAGGCAGGCCGATATTATGAGAGGCAAGGGCATTTAGCGAGCTAGAGTTTGGCCGGTTTGAGGTGAGTAATGAATTGTAAGAATCCTGAAGGTTTGAATACTCGTCAATTTGGCACATTCGTGATTTTGTCTATATTGAGGGTGAGATCACCGCTTGATAATGATAATGAGTGCTTATGGTAATCGTTTTTACTATTGGGGTATTTGGGACTTGGTCCGTCCTGAGTGTGTTTTTTTGTACCAGGCGTAGTTGATTTGAAGCTTATTTGGCGATATGATCATTCTTTTTGACTAATTGTCATGGTTTGGAGATGGGGCTTCGTGCCAACTATTTGGAACTCCTCGGGTGATTGCTATTCACTATTTTTCTCACTATTTTGACATGATTACTTGAATTCAGTCCTATTTGGTTTCAATTTTTTAACAACTCAAGCGTTTTTGACTTTTCAGATTTGAAAACTAAAATGATTTTTCTAAATGATGGTTTTTGGGGGTGCAGTAAACTACATTTTTATTTAGGCCCCGAGGGGGTTTATGTAGATTATCTGGACTGAGTATAGGAGTGCGGGGGCTGCACCCGAGGATCAGTTATGTCATAGATTTGATTATTGTGATACTAGGTCGAGGGCCTAGCTGATGCTAAACGAGATGGGCTTTGATATATTGCGCTTGGGTACGTAAGGGGCCCCTCCGAGTCTGCACACGCCCCAGTGAGCAGCCGTCGCGATAAGTAAATTGGATATAGGCTGCCGCCG